AGTGGAACATACATAATTATAAAAGGTCAATCCACCAAGAAGATGTAGCAATCCCAAATGTGTGTGCACAAAATAACAGCTGTAAAATATGTGAAGCAAAAACTGATAGAATGGAAAGGACAAAGAGACACATCCACAATTACAGTTGGAGACTTCAACACTCCTCTCCCAACAATCGATAGAGCAACTAGACAGAAAGTCAGCAAGGATATAGAATATCTCAACAACATCAACCAACAGGTTCTAACTGACATTTATAGAACACTCCACCCACCATCAGAAGAATACACATAAAACATATACCAACAGAGATCATATCTTGGGCCATAAAAAATACACAATGCATTTATAAAAACTGAAATCATACAGGATGTGTATTTAGACCACAATGGAACCAAACTAGAAATCAATACAAGTAAGACCACAGGGAATCTCGAAACACCTGGAAATAAAACAGCACACTTCTAAAAGCATCAAAGAGGATGACGTCTCACTGAACTGAATGGCAATGAAAATACAACATACAAAAATTTGTGAGATGTGGCTACAGCAGTGATGAGAGTGAAATGTACAGCACTAAATGCTTATATTATAAAAGAGGGCACATACCCTGAGAAAACCATAATTCAAAAAGAGTCATGTACTACAATGTTCACTGCAGCTCTATTTACAATAGCCAGGACATGGAAGCAACCTAAGTGTCCATCGACAGATGAATGGATAAAGAAGATGTGGCACATATATACAATGGAATATTACTCAGCCATAAAAGGAAATGAAATTGAGTTATTTGTAGTGAGGTGGATGGACCTAGAGTCTGTCATACAGAGTGAAGTAAGTCAGAAAGAGAAAAATAAATACTGTATGCTAACACATATATATGGAATCTAAAAAAAGGTCATGAAGAACCTAGGAGCAGGACAGAAATAAAGACGCAGACGTAGAGAATGGACTTGAGGACACGGGGAGGGGGAAGGGTAAGCTGGGACAAAGAGAGAGTGGCATGGACATATATACACTACCAAATGTAAAATAGATAGCTAGTGGGAAGCAGTCGCATAGCACAGGGAGATCAGCTCGATGCTTTGTGACCACCTAAAGGGGTGGGATAGGGAGGGTGGGAGGGAGGGAGACACAAGAGGGAAGAGATATGGGGATATATGTACATGTATAGCTGATTCACTTTGTTATAAAGCAGAAACTAACACACCATTTTAACGCAATTATACTCCAATGGCGATGTTAAAAAAAAAGAAATCAAAAGAAATCAATTTTCAAAAGTAAAAAAATAAAATAAAAGAGGACAAATCTCAAATCAATAATCTAAGCTCCCTCAAGAAACTAGAAAAAAAAGAACAAAATGAACCCAAAGCAAGCAGGAGGAGGGGAATAATAAAGATAAGATATCAATGAAATTGAAAAAAGAAAAACTGACAGAGACTACCAATGAAACAAAAAGCTAGTTCTTTGAAAAGAGCAATAAAATTGATAAACCTCTAGTAAGACTGACAAAGAAAAAAAAGAAGATCTGTATCAAGAATGAAACAGGGGCTATCACTATAGATCCAGACATCAAAAGGACAATGAAGGAACACAACTCTACACAACATAAATATGACGACGTAAATGACATGATGGATTAATTACTTGAAGAGCACGTACTACCATAACCTACCCAATGTGAAATAATCCGAATAGCCCTTTAACAATTAAGGAAATAGAATTTCTAAGTTTCTAAACGTCTCCAGGCCCACGTGGTTTCCCTGGAAAATTCTGACAAACATTTAAAGAAGAATTAACATTAATGTTATACAATCTCTTCAAGAAAGATAAGAGCAAGGAACACTTCGCAATTCACATGATAAGCCAGCACTGTCCTAATGTCAAAACCAGACAAAGGCAATACAAAAAAAAGAAACCTTCAGAACAATATTCCTCATGAATATAAAAAGACAAGCATGTGAGGAAAACGTAGACCAATGGGAATTCTCTTATACTGCTGGTGGGAGTGTCAGAAGGTACAACCATTTTGGGAAAGTGGTTTGGGATAGTCTCTACTCAAATTCAACATCCTATAGCACTTCTACTCTTGGGGACAGACCAATAGGAATGTTCCCATACACTCCCCAAAGACCTGTACAAGAATGTTAGTAACAGCACTATTCCAATAGCCCTAAACCCCCTCGCGTACGTCAGCAGTAGGACAGGTAAGCAAATTACAGTATATGCACATAATGGAATAGGATCCAGCAATGGAAATGAATAAACTTCACTTACATGCAATATCATGCATGAGTCTCACAAACAAAATGCTGAGCGACAGATGCCAGACACAGCAGTGTGCACTCACGATCCTATTGATGTAATTGTGCTTCAGAGACAAGCACAATTACCCTATGGTGTTAGAAATCAGGAGAGTGGTTATTCTTTTGGAGGCTGCTGCCCCTAAGGGGATGTGGGAGACCCAAGAGGCTGGTCATGTCTGTGTCTTGATCTGGGTGCTGGCTACACGGGTGAGCGTGGTTTATGAATATTCATCAAGTTGTATTCTTAGGTAACATGTAACTTTCCTCTATGCCTGGTGTATTCCACTGTAAGTTGACTAAAAAAGAAGAAAAAGCCTACTGGATCTGGTGACACGAAGACTGTAGGTGAGCACAAGTTGTGAGGAAGTGGCACGCTGCAGGGATCTAAGGTTTATTCCAATTTTACAAATGGCGACACCAGAGCACAGGGCAGTTCAGTGACTGGGACAAGGTTGCAGAGCTACTGGGTGGCAGAGCAGGGACTTGAACCCAGGGAGCAGGGCTGCTGAGCTGGTGCTCACTCACTAAACTAGCCTGTCTCTTATTTTGAGAGCACAGAGGCAATGATAAAGGAACATCAAGACAGGAATATGCAAATGCATGAGTGTATGAGGCTACTTTAGGAAGAGCAAACAGCTGTAGCAACTCGATGCTCTTGTGGATGTTCCTTTATCACAGTGGCTACACAGGCTGGTGACCGACAGTCACAAAGACAACCAGGTGTCACGTTAGAAAAGGACAAGGATTTTAGTACACTATATTTATTGAGGCAGGGAATTATACAGTACATTTCTGAAAGATTTTGGGTTAAGAGACAGACTCTGATTATATCTGAAAAAATAATTTACGTTAGATGCTTAATTATCTCTCAATGCCAGAGAAATGCAGAGCGTGTATGTGTGCTGTGTATATGCACAGGCTCTGCTCTTTTGGGGTGCAATCATATTTCGGTCTTGAAGAGAAAAAAAATTCTATGTCATTAGTGTTTTTTAAAAGCATGGGATTTACAATTTTGTGATTAGGTCAGGGTATATATAGGACATATAAAGGATAACTTAATATAATCAGTGTTAGAGCAATCACTGAACTGCCACATACAAAACCACTGTCCGGAGTCTTACAATATTTTCCACAGCTACAGACTGAAAAGGAGTAGTTAATGAAGCAAAATGAGTAAACTAAAGGTTCTCACTGCCTTAGAGAATGTCTCTAGTTCATCCTTGATAACTAATTTTTTTAAATTGTGCTTTCAGTGGAAACATTTCCTGGACATAATTCAGGAAATTCTTTCCAAATTAAGAAAGTCTCGCTGAATGAAACAGTCTGTAAATCCCTTTTCCAGTATCAAGTATACACAGCAAACATAGGTCCAATCCTATCTGGACCTCCACTGGGAAAAAAAACACAAGACATGAAATCATTTGCTTGTAGACACAAAGACGAGGAACCAACATGAGGGGTGAAATCGTTCCCCAGATCTGCCAAGATTGCTGGGTTGTGGATGTCTGACGGGCCTGCTGCATGCACCTAGAAGCAGATCAGTAAATCTCTAAAAAAGCCCGAGTGGCCCTCCTTGCTCAAACTTTCTTCACTTGGGCTTTTCTCAGCTGCCCAATCTAGTTTCAAACTGCATTGAGTTCTATCTCATACCCAGTTCCTTCTTTGATGCCTCACCTTCTCCTTCAAGGCAAGCAAGCTTTTCTGTGATCTCACAGTCGTATCTGGCTCAGATGCTCTTCCCGGAAGTTTCCTTTGATCTCACCTCTACACACTCTCTCAGTACATTATGTGCATTTGCATGTCTAGACAGCTACAACACCTGCACGGCATTCCATGATACCTCTGTATAAAATTCACCATTCCAAGATGAACTGAACAGTATACGTGTCTTGTATCACGTGTAAAAATGACACAGAAAACCTCTCTGAATTGTCTTTATACCTATCACGTTTATCCCACCTTGACACGATACAAAACAGGTGATGAGAAAAAGGAAACAGAAGTGGAGGAAAATCTGTCTTTTCATGCTTTCAAACTCGCTTTAAAATACAAACATTTCCTGAAATGCAGAAGTGAGAGTGATGAATGTTAATTGGGTATTTTATCACCTTAACTGACTGATCAGAAGAGTATTTATAAACCCCTGACTGATGTCTCGAGCTGATAAATCAACACCAGGGGAGAACATTTCAAGCACATTGATCACTTAAGACAAACAGGCTATTCCGAGCGCGATTATTTTTTATTCATCGTTTTAGCTCATCTCTACCTTTGCTTCCGCTCAATGTTAATAATATCTGTATAAGACTTCTCAATATTTAATGCTAAAGCATGCTTGTTGCATGCTGATGAGGTGAAGCTCACACATTTGATCTCCAGAAAGCCAGTAACCTTTCCAAAAAAAAAGCTCTATCTCACATTGAAGCCTGATCCCAGGCGGCTTCCTTATAAATAGCTGCTGTTGGCTTCGATGCCATGAAGATCACAGAATTACAGTTTTACGGGAAATTAAAAGCCAAGATATTTGAAGAGACTGGCCCAATGGCACAGAATCTCGTAATCAGCAGAGGATACCCAGCGTCCTAGAGCATCACAATGGAGCATTTGTATGACTCAGTTAATACCCAGGACAGTCTACCAGATTGGCATCACCATATCACATGCGGAGAACGGCAACATCAAGGAAAATCTTACCTGTTCATTCTCCTCTTCATCGCTACTTAGCTTAAGGTCATCTTCTAGCATTCTGAAAGAGGGAACAAAGAGGTACAGATACTTAGAAAATTCAAGAGAATTTAGCACCAAAATACCTGTATTAGAGCAATGTTTCAGTAATGAGCGTATTAGATTTACTAATTTTAAAAAAAAATGTTTCCTTTTGAGCCCTTTTCCTCTGATGCACTTAGGAAATTACAAACTGCCACATAATGAAAATAAACCCTCACAACAGTCAAAGGACGTGATGACCTGCTTCAGGAATATGAGGTTTTCGGGCTTCCCTGGCGGCGCAGTGGTTGAGAGTCCGCCTGCCGATGCAGCGGACACGGGTTCGTGCCCCGGTCACAAAGAGACAGCTGGGTATTATATGCTGCTTGAGGCAACACCTATGATGTAGTTTCACCAAAAAAAGCCACATCACCCCGGACACAACCAAGCCTCTACATCAAAATATCATTTTACAGGAAACAGAGTGACAAAGGAACATGTTAATATCACAAAAACATGATCAGCAAAAGCTAGACTGTGAAAGCCAGAACAAATGATCTGATTTCTTAAACATTTTCAAAGCGGGAGGGAAAAAAAAAAAAAAAAAAAAAGAATATGAGGTTTTAAACGAACAGAGTCAAATAGGTGCTTTTCCTTGTGAAGCTGTAATTCCACAATTATTTGTCCTGTGTTTTCCACGTGGCGGGGGCTGAGCTACATCTCCATCACCATTCGTGGGAAGCAGAAGGGGAGAGCGGGCAGAACCCTGCTGAGAGCTAGAAAACCACAAACTCAAGTTCTCAGAGCAGCTGCTGGGTCTTCCCCCACCAAAGATCTAGAAAAGACAGCTGCCTGAACATCCTACCGGATGAGGAAAACCAAATAGGAGGAAACTTTCTGGAAAGACTCTGGGGAGGAACTCCCCAGCGCCCCCTGGGTCCCTCAGCTGCGTCATGACAGCCGCAGTGGGGAAGCTTACTTTTGGGTCCGGAAGAGTTAAAAGTTAAAAAAAAAAAAGAATTTAAGAAAGAATGAATATATGGGTATGTATAACTGAATCACTTTGCTGTACACCTGAAACTAACACAACACTGTAAATCAGCTATACTCCAATATGAAATTAAACAAGAGAGGATATATTTTAAGAAATTAAATTAAAAAAAGAAAGAAAATTTCAAACATTACTTCTGACGATGATGAAACTGTATTCTTATCAGCATTGCTGATTTATTTCTTTGTAGAATAATAGTTTTCAGATGAAGTCATTTCATAAGAAGTCTCACTCAGAAGTGTGTTCTACACACGGATGAATGCAGAGCTCTTCTGTCCGGAGTGAGGGGAAGAGTCCGTCTTTGGATGGACCCTGGGGCTCCAGGGATCACTCTGGACGCCACTGAGTCCCTGTGCTCGAAGGCCTCGCTCTCCTCTCTGAAATCACCTTCAAAGTCCAAAGACCGACCCCTAAAATGTGCTATAAAAGCCAATTATCGGCCTATTGTAGATACATTCCTCTGAATATTTTTATAAGTAATTTCAGTGACGTTTGGGGTGAGCCTGGGGTAAAGATCTGCCAGGGCAGGGCGTGGGCCCACTTCTGCCTCTCACGGCTGTGTGTTTGGGACAAATCAATAAACGGCCCCGCCCCCAGCCCCATTTCCCTCTTTGTAAAATGAAGGGTTGTGCTGGACATCTCCAAGGTCCAGTCCTCCTTTAGCGTCTGAAAGTCTGCAAAATAAATTTGCCCCCTATTTCCTAAAGTAAAACAACTCCTGTATTTGTTCTAAAGAGCACAGTTGTGAAATTTTAAAGCAATTCTTGGTATACCATTTAAGCCATAACCATTAGGACACCAAATCCCCCCTGGCTACAGCTATTCTACCAGTAGCAAGTGGTATCCTTCTTTTATTATTCAAACCAGAAGCAAACAAGCCAAACACTGGCAAAGACTGCACAGCTGCACCTCAACCGCCCTTTACACCTGTGTGGCACGTCACTCATTTCCCTTGACCTCGCAAACTTGAACCTGGGCTTCGAAGAGAAGAGCTACTGGTGATTTATTATATCAGAGTTCTGTTGGGGGAGAATCTAGGAGAGGATGGTGTTTCCTTTGTCCTGGGACACTACTGACCAGCATGGTGACGGCACAGAGTACAGTACCAGTTGGTTGGCTGGGCTGGGCAGCTACCCCAAGACGATTTTTTTTGTTTTTTTGTTTTGGCTGCATTGGGTCTTCGTTGCTGCGCATGGGCTTTCTCTAGTTGTGGCGAGCAGGGGCTACTCTTCATTGCGGTGCGCGGGCTTCTCATTGTGGTGGCTTCTCTTGTTGCGGAGCACGGGCTCAAAGCGCACGGGCTTCAGTAGTTGTGGCACGTGGGCTCAGTAGTTGTGGCTCGTGGGCTTAGCTGCTCCGCGGCACGTGGGATCTTCCCGGACCAGGGCTCGAACCCGTGTCCTCTACATTGGCAGGTGGATTCTTAACCACTGTGCCACCAGGGAAGTCCCCCCAAGATGATTTTCCTACCCAAAGGCACAAATACGTTTCTAATGAAAAGGACCAGAGAAGTCAGGACAGTTTCTTACCCCCCACTCCTCACTCCCTCTTTTGGGGTCAGCTGCCAACTGTGATTCGCTTTAATCTCAAGGACTGCCCTGTAAACACTGGGTGTTCAAAGTGTGGGTGGTCCCGTCGGGGGATGGAGAGGGGGAGGGAAGGACACACAATCGTTGTTAATGACCCCCCGTTAGATGGAAGTCACGTCAAGGGTGACTGAGGAGTTTCATCTGCGTATGGGCGACAGTGTGGACAGATTTGAAGGCCATGGCCAACCAGAGCAAGATGCCCCTAAATGCCCCAAAGCAAGGGATCTTAGCTTGGCTGCACACCCGTCTTGTGACTCGGTTACCACATGAAGCTGGCAGAGTAAAAGCCGTGTGTGGGGTTCCTTTTAAGGTAGGGAGCAGAACTTGTTTTGTTTATTCTAGGTGCACGCTAAATGTGTCAACACATGAACATGCGTCTGGTTGAATCTCAGGCTGCCTTTCACACCCCTGATCCTGGGAGAGTCACACCTCTGGACCATGGTTTTGTCATTTCTATAGTGAGACTCAGCTCCCTTGTCATCCTTTCCAGAAGAAAAGCAGTCAGAGATCCACTTCGCTTTGGGAACAGAAATTATCACTGAATTTACCTCTCTTACGTTAAAAAAAAAAAAAAAAAAGATAATTGGGTTTCTGGTCTGAGATCCAAAAACAAAGGAGCAAATGTAAAAACATTCTGTATTCAAGAGAGGCTTCGAGAGAAGTTAGACTCCAATACACTTCAGAATGTCTTGGAAAAATGGGAACACTGAGTCTGACAGCTCATTCACATCTCACAGCAATCCTGCGAGCCTGCTGCTACCAGCACGAGGGACCGCATTCCTGGAACAGACGGTCACCACTGCCCAGCGCCCCAGACCCCAACAGGCGTGCGCTGAGATGACTCAGTCTCAAGGCCACCCAAGAACACGCCCGGCCCTTCTGTATCATTCTGGTCACAGTGGAGTCCCTGTGACTCAACTTCCAAAGCACAGTGCTGGTCCCTTTTAATGCTGGGAAAAGCAGAGTGGCTTCTTAGAGAGCCTGAGGAGGTGAAATAGGTGTGAGGTTAGAGAAGAATACGGAAGCGCTGGGACCACTTAGGAGCCTGAGAGCTGCCCTCATTTGGTGAAGGCTGTGCCTGCCTCCATCGAAACACACAAATGGCACCATCGGAGCAGTCTGCCCCCAAATCTGATCCCACCTGCTTGACAACGTGTTTATCATCTGTCTGTTTTCAAAAGGAATTACACTGGCGTAAGTAAATTAAACAGGAATAATAATAACAAAAGTTTTAAACCAAGAGTAAAAGAAAATGCAAAGTAAGTGTCGGTTAGGACACAGGGCAGAGATGGAGGATACCTGACTCTGTTTTTCAAGACTCTGATGCTCTGAAGCGTTGAGGATGGAGACTGGGAAGGGTCATCAGCACGTAAGTTCAGGGCCCGTGCTTCAGCATCACACTGACTCGCAGGGCACCCTGACGCACCTCTGCATCCCTACACCCCCCTCATCTGAGCACCACCAGGCCTTCCTCCTGATGGTGACACCCACCCACCCAGAGCCACACTCCTTCCATGTCCCTTGGCACCCACCCCCGCTTCGTGTCCCCGAAGCACCCTCCTAGGTGTCCCAGCTCCTGTCCAACCTGACCTCATTCAACCCTACCTCGAGGTGGGTGCTGCCAGGGCAGGAGACCTCGGGGGTCTGAGCACAGACTCTGGAGTCAGACTGCCTAGGAGGAATCCTGGCTCTGCCACTCAGCTTGCTTAGCATAGAACCTTGTGCGGAACCAACATTCAACACATGTTCATTTTTCATTAGCATTCCTCTTTTACCTCTGAGGGCCATGCCTTGGAGCATTTAAGAAACTTGCATGCGTAAACAGTTTGGGACAGAAGATGTTTCTGTAACAATGCCTTAAAACTAAGCCATTTGCTCTATTTTCAGGCCATCTTGAGAAGAAAAGATGACGTTTTCTAGAGGTTGCGGAGAGGGATATATTTTAGGATATAATTGCTGCCATGGTTGATTGATCTGATGTGAGTTCATGCCTGCAGAGGACAGAAAACATGGCCACCAGCCTGAGTGCACAGGGGACATATCCTGGGAGGCTGTGGTCGGCCACACAGCCTGGAGTACCCACAGCCTGATGACAACAGCTGACATAAAATAGATAATAAAATCAAACTATGCGAATGAAGGCCAGGGAGCAGAGGTGCAGCCAGAGGTACAGAGAAACCTGGACTTCGTGCCCTGAGCACCTGAGCAGCTGTCACATTGTGTCCAGTGCACTTCCGGTCAGTGCCTGGTGGTAACTTCACAGTGGAGTCTGACCAGACAGCTGACTTCACAGTGGGACCCTGACAGGACCGAGGCAGGATTTTTTTTTTTTAAACGTGCAATTAGGTGATTCAGATTCTATCCATTTTTCACTGGTGAACTGTGTAGACAACAGTTTCT